CCAGTCCCCTCAGTGCACCTACCCCCCTCAGTCCCCTTAGTCCACCTACCCCCCTCAGTGACAGATTTATGCTGAATCCCCTTGACGAAGCTGCCAGGGAACCAGCCTTCCTTGCCGTCCAGTGTTCCCTTCCACCAGCCATCGTTTGTCTTCTCTAGGACGGTGATAATGTCTCCTTTCCTGAAGGGTAACTGGCCTTCCTGTGTGACCTCATAGGAGTGCAATGCCTTGTAATGTACCTCGTCTGAACTGGATCCTGCCAAATATAGAAATAGGTGTTTAACAGAATGATGGACTTGAGTTATTCTTCAGGTTACTTTACTAAAGATTAACCTGAATAAAGGACACTAAAACTTCAAACACATTCAAAACAAATCAATATGGCAAACATTTGTTATATCAACAGTAAGGAAACAATTCCAACATGATAATAATTTTGATTCTTTGTATCTTTTACAAGGAGTGTGATTGAATTGGCTGATAAGAGAACACATGATCTGGAAAAGCCAGTGTTATAATGTAATGCATGAAAATGGAAAATTAAAAAACATCATGCTTGACCCCACAATGACCTTGGAAATGTCCACTTCAATCCTGTTAATGAAGAATAACATTGAGCAAAAATTCTTTTCAAACTATTATTTTATAAAAAAAACCTGTAGCCAAATCTGTTTGAAATGTGAATCTAAAACATCAAATTTGTTAAATTGTCTTTGTTAAAAGGCTGAAATGCCTGTCTTAAACATCTGAAGCATATTGATTTAATGATATACGAGTCAAAACTCTGGGCCCAACTATTCAATGATTTGCTATTAAATACTTGTATAAATTTTCATTATTTTGATTTTTAGATTGCAATTAAATTAATAGGTAGAGATCTAAAAGAGAACGTTTCTCCAGAACATTGAGTATTGAGAAACATTCTTAAATGTTTAGAAGCAAAATATTTGACATCATAGACAACACCAAAATGTTTGCCTTGGGCATTGATGTTTTACAGCAGTTTCTCTAGTTCTGATGAAGAAGTTCAGCAAAAATCACGAAAACCCTGTTCCATGAAAAGGCTGGAATACATAGTAAGGCTGGTAGTAAGAAAGTATTATCATGTTAAGGATCCATGTCCCACTGCAGACAAAACACTAGAGAGTTCCACTGTGGTTATTTATTATTGTATTTACAGTTATCTTCCCTTGAATTCGTTTTGGATTGCAATTGTGCAAGAACATTTCTGTTGGACACTTCTGTTGACCAGGTAGCTCTGTTGGCTAGAGAGACATTGTATAAAACTTGGGGTTCAGGGTTCGAATCATGGTGGAGTTCACCAGAAGTTTTACACTTACAATACTGTTGTTGAATTTCATCTTTATTGGTTACTGCATAAAGCCCTACAAGGTCGGTATTCCTTTTGAGAAATGTTTTGATCATTCCAGAGAAATCAGTTTCTAATGCGTATTTACAGTGGTACGGGGATCCTTAAATGATTACAGTTTGTGGCAGTGGTACGGGGATCCTTAAATGAATACAGTTTTTGGCAGTGGTACGTGGATTCTTAAATTATTACAATACTTTGCAGTGGTACGGGGATCCTTAAATTATTACAGTTTTTGGCAGTGGTACAGGGATCCTTAAATTATTACAACACTTTGCAGTGGTACAGGGATCCTTAAAATATTACAGTTTTTGTCAGTGGTACGGGGATCCTTAAATTATTACAGTTTTTGGCAGTGGTACAGGGATCCTTAAATTATTACAACACTTTGCAGTGGTACAGGGATCCTTAAAATATTACAGTTTTTGGCAGTGGTACGGGGATCCTTAAATTATTACAGTTTTTGGCAGTGGTACGGGGATCCTTAAATTATTACAGTTTTTGGCAGTGGTACGGGGATCCTTAAATTATTACAGTTTTTGGCAGTGGTACGGGGATCCTTAAATTATTACAGTTTTTGGCAGTGGTACGGGGATCCTTAAATTATTACAGTTTTTGGCAGTGGTACGGGGATCCTTAAATTATTACAGTTTTTGGCAGTGGTACGTACGGGGATCCTTAAATTATTAGTTTTTGGCAGTGGTACAGGGATCCTTAAATTATTACAGTTTTTGGCAGTGGTACGGGGATCCTTAAATCATTCCAGTTTTTGGCAGTGGTACGGGGATCCTTAAATTATTCCAGTTTTTGGCAGTGGTACAGGGATCCTTAAATTATCAAACACATGTATCAACAATCGTTACATTTTAGAATCACAATAACCTGTTAGTAAAGACAGTGGAATCACGTTAGTAAAAAACATTTGATTCATAATTTCATTCCTGCCAAAATCTCCAAAATATTTTAAAATGCTACATGTATAATAACATTGGTTACATTAATTGAAATCAAATTTCAGTTTAATTGTAAAAGTAAATCCAGAAAGCAGGTTGCCCAGACCTTCAGATCAACGTAACGAGATTCCACTGACACAAAACACTCCACCCATCACAAACATCAAAAGTTACCAAGACTAGCAGCTAAACAGTCTATAATACCCCAACATAATTACTTATATACCATCATCAACTGAATAAGAAATAACATGCAACTACCAACTTTCAAAATTTGCCTTATATAGGCATAGGATTACTGTTGCCTTCTAGCTTCCTGTTAGAGGGAATTTCCCTTTAGCTCAGTGGTAGAGCGTCTGGCCAGGAAGTCTGGGTTTGATCCCCGGTGGAAGCACACTACTCTCTTTCCTGTTACACATGGATAGTACTCACTACTTGAATGGTGTCAAGGACAGTCAACTAATGTTTACATCTCCAGGAAATACCAATGACACAATTGTCAATATCCCAAAGGCCAGATATGTACCAGATGGGCCAGATATGTACCAGATGGGCCAGATATGTACCAGATGGGCCAGGTATGTACCAGATGGGCCAGATATGTACCAGATAGGCCAGACATGTACCAGATAGGCCAGATATGTACCAGATGGGCCAGGTATGTACCAGATGGGCCACAAGGACAACAAGTTGTGACACCCAGCAGGGCACACCACCCAGTCACATCATATGTGTGTGTTTTGGGAGGCTGGGATATATTCGTGTTTCTACCAAAATACGCTGTGTTATTCCACTTTCAGATCATTGTATAAACATGCAGACTGTTAGATAAATATGAGTTATATACCAAACGTGGTATATGACCTTCAAGAGTTTTGATTGGTCGAGAAGATGCACTTTGACCAGGACGACTTTTTCACACGCTTTTTGGCACATGCTGTTTTGTTTACGTCGTCTGCTGTCAACATCCGACAAATGTTGGTGACTTTGTGAGGTTACGCGGAAAAGGGGGTTATTGGGGCAATATTAAAAGAAGGTGATACTTAAAGATTTGATCGCTAGTTTCAGTCAAAATTGCTACAGATGCTCGATATCGTTTCGACGTCACACCGTCATGTGTCCGGGTCGTGAAACCAAAACAAGATCTGTCACAGTTTCGGAAAATATTTCGTTCTCCCAACGTCCCTTTATCACTATTTGGACGGCCTGACTATGCCTGAACTTTCACAATAAACATCAACCATAGAACAGTCATGAAGAAACGCCCCAGGTTTATGGTTTTGGACATTGACAGCGATAAGTTCGTCTTCATCACTTGGCGGGTGGCAGACTTCATACGATATGCTTACGCGCATATAGTCCGTGCTTAATTTATATAAATTAATGCAATACTGCTACTCTCAATATTTAAAGTCGTTCATCTATTATATTTTTTCATGAAGTTGTTGCCGAAACATTAATTTTGACAATTATTAAATTTGTAAAAAAAAGTTTTGGATATCAATGAGTGACTTTTTACATATGGGTCACATCACTACGCCAGCCTTGTCAACAAACACATGTGTGTATGTTATTTCCGACTGATCATGAGATTGTGGTAGAAACAGATCACACGACTCGTGATTGTTGAGTATGGGATTTATTTCACTCTCGTTAGTTAATTTTCAAAGGTACAGAAAGACACTCGCTAAAGCTCGTGTATTTTGTAACTCTTGAAAATTAACTAACTCGAGTGAATCAAATACCATATTCAACAACCACTCATTGTGTAACCTCTATTTCTACCACAATAGGTGGGTGTTATTCAACTCCCAAGGCATCAATTAATCATTACAACTGTTGTATAACATATATATTGTTTATACCACATGCGTGTGATTTTAAAATAAACAACAAATCCATGTTTTCATGTGTTGTATGTTAAGTGCTATTATAAAGAATTCCTGGAAAACTTAATAACACTGCCAATGCTATTTCTTGGTTCCAGATGCAACATTTCAGAGAGCCTGCACCTCTGGTGGAAGTTCTTCTGGTTCCATGCCTTCCCATGTCATCTTTAATGATGAGCTGAGCGACGAAGTGGACGACTTGTGGAACCGTGCCCTAAGTGGGAGGACTCTAGCTACCTATACAGATCAGGTTTGAATTATTTTCGGGCTTTCATGCTTCTACAAGGAATCAGGTTTCCTGCAAATTCTCTACCTCCAGTATCTGAAGACTTTTTGATCGGTTTTGTTACACATTGTCAAACAGCGCTAGGTCTTAAGTATGACACCATTAAACTTTACTTGGCGGGTCAATTACATACGCTATAATTAAGGTGATCCACTCGCGAATACTCTTAGACTGTCATACATCTTGCCAGCTATCAAGAAGTCCCATGTGTTTTCATTGACAAAGTGTTTTCCTATCACATGTGATATACCGAGAAAAATGTGTTCCACCTTGTCCAGCAAAATGGGTTTGTTTGAACCTTCATTGACCTCAACTGCTCACTTGTGTGTTCAAAACAACTTTTATGTTTTTTTTACGTTGTGATGAATTTACTTGCAAAACATTCCAGGATACAAATTTTATTCGTATGTGTGACATAAAAGTGTTACCTGGAAAGGCTAATTTTCACTTGTCCCTGCGTTCTTCTAAAATGGATCCGTTTGACAAAGGAGTTGTCATCAGAATCTTTGAAAACAGTCTGTTAACTCCTGTGACGGCTATGTATGACTATTTACAGGTGCGATATTCACAAGGGGCTACCCCTACTTCCCTGTTGTTTGTAGATAATGTCTTCGTCACGACAGCCTTTAACGCGTCAAAAGTTCATCACTTATCTGAAGGAAACACTAACACATATTGGTGCTGACAACCATGCTTTCAACGGCCATTCTGTTCATATTGGGGCAGCCACCTCAGCTGCTGCAGCAGGTGTTGAAGATCATACAAACTCTCAGGAGATGGTCCTCTGACTGTTACATCCGGTATATACATACCGACCCCTACATTATTTCCACTGCTCAAAAGAACATGACCTTTTTGGACACCTGTTCTTGACTTGAGTTGCTCTGCTTGGTAGGTTGTATGATATGGTCTTCACCACTGCATCATTGATCAGTTACTGTACCTTGTACATTGTGGGGTCTCTTGTACTACCTATACCTCAAGGTTTATTTATCCATATTGGGGGCTCTCACTCATTAGTAATCAACATTCATTTGTATTACTTATTTCATTCAATTTTGGCTTTTAATTCCAGGGTAATTTTTATCCCCAATACTTTATTAAATGATAGTTTGATATTTTAATATTAAACTATAGTTTATATACAATGAGTTTGCCTTGCTGCCTATGTTTTCTGTTTTCTGTAATGTAGGTCGTATGTATTTATGTAGTTGCCAATTAGCATGTATGTTAATGAGAGTAGAGGGATGCTGCTGATTGACCAATCAGCGTCTGCCTGAGGGAATGCCCTGTTAGGGATTTGGAGCCCCCACAGCATAGTTTTCTGAATCATTGAAGGAGATTGTTGTGCATTCCCACCCGCCATCCCCTTCAGCACCTGTAATTGTACTGTTTATTCATGTAATATATATATATAATCTGTACTTTATATATGATTGTAATACCATATACGTATGCTATAACATTACTTTGGTGCTTTGGTTTTGCTATACCCTTAAACTGTCATATGAATGTCATCTCAGTTGGTCTCCTGATTTTGTTTTAATTGTTTGGGCTACTCACTCTTAATTTTAAAACATATAGTTTAATTTTGGCATTTAATTCTTGGGGAATTCTACCCCCAATCTTATAATAATATTATACATGTAGTATTTTACGACAGTATGTTTCAGCTTCTCTCATATCGTTGAGGGTCTAGCTAACATATTCAGCTTCTCTCATATCGTTGAGGGTCTAGCCGTAGTCGTTGAATATTCCATTTCTCATGCAGCTTCTCCAGGGTCGCTCGCAGAGTCTAGTAGCTTCTCTGGAATCGTCCAGGGTCTAGTTGCTTCTCTGTATCTTTGGAGTCTTGCTCGATCATGTAGCTAGCTACTCTGGGACACCTCAGAGTCCAGATTCTTTAAATTTTAAATATCCTATTAGTAAGTTTAATCGTTTTGGTATAGAGTGAGTAGCCCCTGATACGCCAAACTTGTAGCTTGTATGTATTATAACTGTAGTAATAAACAGGTTAAACTGTTCTTGCGTGTTTAGTTGTATATAAATTGAAATATTATTCATTTACTATGTCTGTAGCTTCAATGTATCATCAACTCCAGGAACACTTTGAGTCAAGTCGCTTCTCTGCAGCTCAGTAGAGTCAAGCTTCTTCTCCAGGTCTATTCAATTTCAAGTCTTAGAGTCAAGTCGCTTCTCTGCAGTTCAGTAGAGTCAAGCTTTTCTCTCTAGGTAAGAGTATTCTATTTCTCATCTTCTCCATAAATTTCTCCATAAATACTTAAGAGTCAAGTTGCTTCTCTGGAGTTCGGCAGAGTCCAGTGTCTTCTCTATGTGTCTTTTTGGGGTATGTTAAGCAAGTAGAGTGAGTAGCCCCTGATATGCCAAATGTTAATAATGTATACATGTACTTCTCAGTGTATCTTATTCCTGTTTTTGGCTAACATGTGTAATAAACAGATAAACTGTTTATCGTGTTTTAGTTGTATTTAAATTTCAAAGCATTACATGTTCAATGTTTGACATATCGTGCAGATTGTAGTTTTACAAATTGTTTGCCTTTAACACGTTTCAGTTCGGAATATTGAGATTTTTTAAACTGTATCCTGATAAAAAGGTTTGCACAAATAAAGGAGTCGAGGGAACAAGAATGAAATAAAATGCTAATTAACATAATATAGGTTGCAACACACAAAACAGAAATCAGAAAACTACTTGTACTACAGGATGGTAAATCTAGATGTAAACAAGAGGCCCATGGTCCTTATCGGTCACCTGATATATTTATACAGAGAGTTGATTTTGTTTTTAACATGAACAGAAATATTATTCAAAGTGACAAAAAACAATAAAATCACCTTATTCAATATCTAGCATACAGATTTCAGACTAAAAAGTATTTGAAACTAGCACCTCTGATTCTAAACAAGGAAAATGAAGAAAGTTTAGCACACTGACTCCTTTGAGCCCCACCCTACAGCCCTTGGGGGTAGGGCTGGGTCAAAATTTTCAAAGTATCAAACTGTCAACTCAAGGTTATAATTCCAATCAAGTTATTAACATGTAATTTTCAAAGTATCATTTGCCATTATACACCATAATAAATAATGCCCCCCCCCC